GTCAGGTGTGTGTATGTGTGTGTGTGTGTGTGTGAGAGAGAGAGAGAGAATCTATATATATAAAAGCCTAAGCGACCAACCGGTAACTATAACCTGCATGGACCACCAGGGAGCGGACACTCAGCACACAGGCACAGAAACATGGAACAGACTGAGGAACCTCTGAGGGAAGCGGGGAGGAGGGCGGGAAGAGGTTAACCAAAGATCTTATATGCATATATGCATTACCTATGGACACAGACAATAGGGTGGTGAAGGCCTGGGATGGGGTGGGGCAGGAACCGGGTGAAGGGGGGCAAAGGGAGAGGAAAGGGGACATCTGTAATACTCTCAATAATCAAGTTTAAAAAATCTATTTAAAAAAGTGTAAGGCGAGACAACACAGATATACAGCAGTAAGAAAGAGAATTTGAATATATTTACATATACATGAGAATATTTATGAAAACTGTAGACAACAGTATGTTAAACAGTTTGAAAACCTAAATGATATAAATGAAGACACAAATTACCAATAATAATTTAAGAAGACAGAGAAAGCTACAAAGGGGGATAGAGGTGGGCCAGGAGGGAGGCGGGGGAAAAGGGAGAGAGGAAAATGAAAGTTTTATTTATCTAGTGCAGTGGTTCTCAACTTTCTGGTTCTTTAAATACAGTTAGTTCCTCATGTTGTGACCCAACCACAAAATTATTTTTGTTGCTACTTCATAACTGTAATGTTGCTACTGTAAATATGAATAAAATAGAATCAAATTGCAATGTAAATATCTGATATGCAGGATGGTCTTAGGCAACCCCTGTAAAAGGGTCATTCGACTACCAAGGCGTCACGACCCACAGGTTGAGAACCACTGATCTAGTGGTTTTGTACAGTGTCACCAGGCTAATTGAAACCAGGTTTCCCAGACTTACTTTGCCTGTATGGCTCTAGGTTAGGGTTGGAGCTTGAGAAATTGGCCTGAAATGTGAGAGGCAGAAGTGAAGCAACAGCCATTCTCCTCTGAAGGTCATTCTTGGTTGGAAGTGACGAGGGGACAGATGCAGAGGAGCCAAGGATCCCCGTTTATTCTCGCTCTCCCTATGTTTGCATCCAGCTCTCTGAAAACGCTGGTCCCGCTCACCTGCACTGACTCCTCCCCACGGTCACATGTGTCCCTGTTAACTGACAGCAGCAGCAGCTGGCAAGAGCCAACCAGACAGCTCTCTACAGGAGCCCTTCCCAGCTCCAGCCAGCAGCAAGGCGTGCTCAGCTTCCTGAAAGCTCCCACTCCCAGGCACCTGATGAGTGTGGTGTTTCTCATCGTTTAGAGCAGCGGTCCTCAACCTTGGCTGCACATTACAATCACCTGGGAATCTTTTTAAAATCCTGATTTTTGGGCCTCATCCTCCAGAAATTCTGTTTCTTTGTTACTAATGTTGTGGCCCCACCCCATAACAAAGAAACAGAATTTCCAGAGGATGAGGCCCAGAAATCAGGATTTTAAAAAGATTCCCAGATGATTCTCATGTGCAGCCAAGGTTGAGAACCACTGGTCTAGAGCAGCTCCTCACACAGCTAGGTCTAATTTCATGACAAATCTCTTGTTTCGTAACACTGATAGTAGTTCTGCTTCCATATTTGGACCAATATTTATCCCAGGGTAACAGAGGAATCTGGGATTGGTTCTGTAATATGATTATATTTAAGAATTCATATTGCCCGGGTGGTGTAGCTCAGTGTTGCGCATCGAACTATGAACCAGTAGGTCAAGGTTCGATTCCAGATCAGGGCAGGCAGAGGTGGCGAGGAGTGATCAGGCAGGGGCACCTGCCCGGATTGCAGGCTCATCTCCAGCAGCGGGTGTACAGGAGGCAGTCGATAAATGATTCTCTCTCATCATTGATATTTCTGTCTCTCCCTCTCCCTTCCTCTCTGAAACCAATAAAAATATATTTAAAAAAAAGAATTCATGTTAATGCTGATCGTGGAAAGGGGCACACAAATACAGTGGGGCCTTGACTTATAAGTTTAATTCGTTCCGAGACCGAGCTCATTAAGAAGCTTGTTAAGGAGCTCGTTAACTCAAATTATGCTATCAACTCAATGCAAAAAATCGGAGGAGAGATAGCTGGTAACTCAAAAAACTCGTTAGTCAGGACACTCCTAAGTCAAGGCCTCAATGTAGTTGATGGAATTCAGGGACAGAAGATCCCCTAGTTACCACCGGTAGCCATCTCTAAGCATAGGAGCAAGGCTTTGAGTGACTACGTGGTGGCTGTCCTAGGAGGGTCTCAGGAAGGCATAGAATGGGCTTGGTGGCTTGTTCTAGAGAACCTGAGAGAATGGAAGTGATGGGTGCAAAGCTTGAAATT